ATATTTGAAAATAACATTGTTAAACTTCAGAGGAAATAGATTGTGTCAATACATATGAAAAATTAGCTTTGAATCAATTAAATCATTGATGCATGCGTTTTATAAAATGAGAATGTGAATTCTATTACTTTTCAATGGCAAAAGTGACATTCTATCATTTTTTCAAAAAATAAAAATAAAATAAAAAAGTCACAATATATCCTTGAAGCAATTAACTAGGTGCATATGTGTGCATTTTTGAAAATTTGAACATACAAATTCAAGCCCTGTTTTAGGGTAATACATATGAAAAAGAAAATTTTGAATAGTTATATTGATGCATGCAAGGTGTTTGCTCAATAAGAATGTGAGTTTTGTCACTTTTCTACGAAAAAGTGACATTCTGTTTCTTTTCTAAAAAAAAAAAAAGTCTTAGTATCTCATTGGATCAATTAATTAGATGCATATTACTCCGTCACTTTTTTTAAAAAAAAAGTCTCACACAATTTCTTTATAATCTTTTTGTTAGTATGGATAAAATTAATGTCTTCATTTGTTATTGAGGCAAATGAACACAAGATAATGAATATAAAAGTGGCAAAATGATCGCAATTGTTGTCCCGATGGATTGCACGTATAACAACCTTGAGTGCATGATATTTTCTGTGATGAAATTAAGTGCATCAACACAGAGAATAAAAGTACAATATAGAGTGAAAAAAACCTACCTTTGATGGAGATTTCAGATGATATTTCTCTAACATTGTATTTGGAACTCAAGAGGAACGATAAAGATCTTGCAAGTTTTCCATTGTAGATGTGACAAATGTATCAAAAAGTCACAATACTGAATTTGTTAATAATATGCAATGTTTGGATGCTGCTGATTTCGAAAAAAAATGATATGCCGCAACTTCAATTTTGTGAACCTGTAACTGATAATTCTATGACATCAGTTTAGAAATTACCTAGTATGGAAGAAATTGCTGATGATGTATATAATAGTATATCGGGAGTTGAAGAAACGACGAATGAAGGAGGTAGTG